CCCACACTCCCCGCCCCCCGCCCTGGAGGTCACAGGCAGTAGCAGGTGTGGCAGCAGCAGAGCTGCGCAGTTAGTGACCGGGTTCAGTCGCTACCTCCGCTTGTGGGCTCCTTACAGCTCCATGCCTCCGAAAGGTGGGGACCCCACCACCTAGTTGCTGGCTTTTAGCAGAGGGTTAGAACAGACCAGGGTCAAACTGCTTGGTGTGGGGCCTGCGAGGGAGGAGGAGCCCCTGACGGGCGGGGGCCGCAGTGACCAGAAACGGCCGAGTGGAACCCGGCTGCACGCTTCTGGAGGCTGGAGGAGGGGAGGCCGGTGGGTTCCTCGCTGGCCCAGGAGGAGGGTCCCCCTTTGTCCCCGGGTGCGTGCGGTGCCGGATGCTGCTGGCCAGCCTGCAGCCAGACCTAGGACGTAGTGGAGGCCGGGGCAGGCTGCCCCCTGCAACGCTTTGAGTGCGCGCTCCGAGCACGGGGGACGGCGGCCTCTGGGGAAGCCCGCTGGCTGGGCAGAGCAGCCGGCTCTTCAGTAAAGATCGAATCCTGGGAAGGCCTCCTTCCCGCCAGAGGGGCCCGCGGGTGACAGGCCAGGGCTGCACTTTCCCTAGGAAGCAGCCAGACTTGCCCCGGGGTGTACGGCACCCTGTCCAGAGGCCTCGAGACCCGCTGGCCGCACGGAGGGACACAGTGACCCCGGAGGACCGCCGTCCCCTCAGGCAGAACCACTGGTGTCCAGCAGCTCGTCCTCAAAGGCTGAGTTCGCTGTGGACAAGTGGTGGGCTGTACGGCAAGACGAATGTGGATCTCTGCTGCTGGGGATAAAGGCACTGTCACAGAGACTGGGAGGTGACGGACAGGGACACTGACTGGTGGTTCTCTGATTTTCAGCCCTTTCTCGGGTGAAGGGACCGTTCGTTGCTTGTGGCTCATATGAGAAGATTCTGGCCCGAGTCTGTGGGAGGACGTTGTTCGCCTCTTCCACATGTTACTGGATTCAGGGAGCAATCCTTTAAAAAGTGATATTATCCTTAATAGATGCATTTTTAAGTGTTGAGAGAGGAAAGACTAAAACACTTCTTTTTTTCCCGTGCAACTTTAAGTTCTGTTTTGAACAGAGGGATCTTTTCTCGATGTGATAAAGATTGTATTTCAAGTCAGTAGCCATCATCATTCTCAGTGATGAAACATTTAGGACAATCTCATTAAAGCCAAGTGCAAAGACCTCCACTGACATCATTTTATAATCATTAGCAATACAATTTTGGAAATTCTGGGCAATGCCATAAGACCTAGAGCAGAAAAAAAAGAATGATTTGTTGGAAAGAATGAGACGGACTCATCCTTATTCATGGTGGTACTTGTGTGCTCACAAAACCTGGGGTCCCCGGAAAGCAGTTACATTTAGTCAAGAATCTAATAAAGGTATTAGCAATTTTCAATAAGCAACTTTTCTGAGGAAAATGCATGTATAGTAGCATAGTTCCTCCAAATATTCGTGCAGTAGCTAGGAGTGATCTTGAAATGGATAGGACTTCTTGGCGAAGAAAAAAAGGTGAGAAAAATTAAAAGATTTGACTAAACATATCCTGTGCTCCTGTATAGAAAAACAGGATATTGTGAGGGTGTCACTTCTTGCCAAATTTAATTTATATGTTTAATGCAATTTGTATTTTGAATCTGTTTTTGTTCATTTAACATTATAAGAATTTAATCTTATATAAGTACGCTTAAACACTTCCAAATTTGATTAAACATAGATTGTTTTCACTTGTTTTCCAAGAAACGCTGTGAAAAAAATCTTTACACACAGACTACTCCCTTATTTTTTTTTCTTATGATGAATTCTCACATGTGGAATTACTCGATCAAAGGAGACAATTTTAAATACTCAGTGTTATTAACATGCAGTTAAATGCAACTTTAATTAAAATGTCGGAGTTTAAAAATTGAATAAATAATTTGGAAAAAATAGATGAAGATAAATATAGCTAAGTAGAGGTTGTTTTTTTTTTTTTTAAATTGTGAGAAAGAAACACCAGCCGTCCAAGTATTGTGACGTGCTGTGAAGATAAATCTTTAAATCAGTGTGGTACAGGCATATGTATTGGTTGGTAGGTGAATGGGGTAAACTCAATTACCCAGGAACAGATTTTGGTCTGCATGGGAATCGGTATACGCTAGGTCATTACAAACCTCTGAGTTTGGGGAGGTATTTCCCAGGGGGATCGGCACAGTTGGCTAGTTTTTGAGAGAATATTAATCCCCATCTTGTATCCTATGCCCATGTGACCGCCGGAGGGCCGGGCGGGTTGAAAGGGAAAGCGAGCCAAGCGGGCACTCATGCGTGGTCGTGTGGGCATCGCTCCCGCGGTCAGCCCCACCCTGGAGGAGCTGCAGGCCCCCCCCGGGGTGGGATGTGGCCGGCCGAGCTCTGCCTGGAGGACAGCACAGGTGCAGGTGGCCAGTCAGCACGGCCCCAACTGGGGTGGGGAGGCCACCTGAGCCGCGGCTGTCTGAACCCGGAGTCCCAGCTGGTGAGACCGGAGACCGGAGGCCGGAGGTGCACAGGCCGAGGGAGCCGTGTGCAGAAGGCCAGGCCCGCGCAGGGACAGGCAGATGGCCAGGGCGTGGGGCGGAGGCAGGAATTGGGTCCTGCAGGCTTTAACGGCGTGCCCAGTGGTGCGGACGTGGATCTGGAAGGTTTGGGGACCGACTGGAAATGGCCGTGAGCTGATGTGTTAAAAGCCCGGTCTGCATGGGTCCTGGACCCGGGGCCAGGAGGGGTCTGGGGAGGCCATGCTGACAGGGCAGGTGTGGGGCTGGTTTGGACCGGGGACTGTGACCAGGACAGACTCGGAGCCATGTAGGAGGTAGGACAGAGAAGACGGAGCTGTGAGTCAGGTGGGCACCCGGACGCAGGAGCGGGGACGGGGTGAGGCTGGTGACCTGGCACTCTGAACGGCTACCCTATGGGAGATGATGGCCCCCTCCCCACGAGAGTGTCACTGCTTCGAGTTACCACATACCTGAAAACAGCACCTAGGGACACAGACGGGCACCTGGTGGGTATGACTCAGTAAGTGTTGAGGACAAAGGCACGAATGTAGGGACTCTGGTTTGGCCGGCTGGACACCTCTGCGGGACCCTGGGAGTGAGCAGGGGTGTGGGAGGGCGTTGCAGGTGGCGGGTCCAGGGCTTCTGTGCACGGGACCCAAGGTGCATTGGGCGATGGACCCCAGACGCGGAAAAGGAATCCGATGCTAAACACCAGACTAGGAAAATATTGGCGACAAGTAATGTGGATGCGGTCTTTAATATGTAAAGAGTACGTGAAAATTAGAAAAAAATCCTTAATGCCAGTTAAAAGTGGTAGTATCAGCAGGAGTAGAGGACCCACAGAAGATAAAAGATACAGTGAATACATAGTTGGAAAAAGTTTTCAACTTTACTAATACCCAAGAATCCCAACCAAATCAGTGTGACAGTTTTTCGCTCATCACAGGAATGATGATTTTAAATAACAGGAATAGTGATAACTGGTTGGAGTGCAAATTTGTGGCAAGTTTTTGCGAAGGAGTTTAGTAGAACGTGTCAGGTGCCTTAGAATGTACTTTTGCCGAAATAATTCTGTTTGTGGACATGCGTCACAAAGAAGCCTGGGAAGGGTCTCCTTCCACATTTGCATTAACTCCGGAACCTCTCGCAGAGAGTCGCTCGTGAGAGGAATGACGGGGTGCAGGCGAGGTGGGGCGGGGGTGGAGCACTGCCACGGTGGGGGACGGCTGACGCTCCCGAGCCCCACATCGACGCGCTTGTTCCTCTTGTGTTCCCAGATGAAGACCGTCAGCGTCGCCTTGGTCCTGTGCCTGAACGTCGGCGTGGACCCTCCGGATGTGGTGAAGACCACCCCCTGCGCGCGTCTGGAGTGCTGGATCGGTAAGCGTGTGTCCCCCCCTCCCCGCCACGGCTGTCCCGAAGGTCACCGGCCAGGGGTTCTGGGCCTGGCCGGGCTTGCCCTGTGTCCCGGCCCTGGGAGTGTCACTTCTTAAGGAGTGTCCCGTAACCTTCAGGTCGCGAGGTGCACCTGCCTCTGATTTGTGGTGAGGAAAGTGCTTCAAGGAAAATTGATGAAATGACTATTGTTGGGTGACATAATCTTCTCCTTTAAATTTGCCCTGCACCTGGCACTTAATGGTAGCCAGATACACTTAAAAACACCCGAAGGCCCGACACCTGCCCGCGCATACCTCACTTCCACAGTGAGGAGCCCTGTCTCCCCCCAGGGCGGCACCTCGGCGCCCCGTCCGCACCCCCCAGGACCTTCAGCGCAGTGCTGAGTGGACACAGCCGGCCATGTGTCTGGCTCGGGGAGAAAGCGGCAGGCCCTCACGGTGACGCGTGATGCAAGCCAGAGTTCTTTTTAGATGCTTTTCCTAAGGTAGGAAGTTCACTTCTATTCTTAGTTGCTGAGAGTTTTCGTCAAGAATCAATGTCGAATCTTACAAAGTGCTTTCTCAGCCTCTACCGAGATAGTCACCTGGCTTTTTTAGGTCTATCGATGCGGTGAATTGTATCGATTGAGTTTTGGTTGTTGAGCCGACCTTGAATTCCTGGAATAAACCTCACTCGTGTTGTCTTTTCTCTGCATTACTGGGCTTGACTGCTCACACGCTGTTTAGAGGTTCCGCTTCTCTCTTTATGAGGGAATTTGGCCTACGGTTTTTTCCTGCAACATATTTGTCTCGTTTTGGTACCAAGATGCTGCTGCCCTGAATGAGTGAACGGAGAAATACTCCATCTTTTCTGTTTCGCGGAGGAGCTTGTGTCACGTGGGGAAGTACTTCTCTCTGAGATCCCGTGACTTGTCCGTGAAGCCGTCTCACTGGGGACGTGGCTTTGTTTCTGCTGCTGCTTACTCAGCTTCCTCTTGTTGATGGGATTGCGCTCCCTCTCCCCCGCCAGGCTTCTCCGTCCTAAGCAAAAGCAGAAATCCCCTTCATCTACTTCAAGTAACAAAAACTACAGATGGATCTGAACTGGGGAAAAAAAGTGGTTTTTCCCATTTTACTTGATCGTCTCACTATTTGGGGGTGTCCTAGGCTGACAGTCCTTGTCTCAGCCTCCCCGCCTACAGCCCAAGTCCCCTGCCCCCACACCCAGTGACGGTGGCCGTTTTCTGTGGCCGCTTCTCTCAGATACCTTCTTGGCTGTCTGCCATCTCCTGGTGACCATGCTGGTTGAATATGATTTCTTCTTAGCCACCACTGTTTCCGCTTCACTTATCCCTCGTCAAAGCTGAATTTTATCAAGCGCTCTCCATTTTCTTCTTCTAAATACTGTTATGTTGGGTTTTTCAACACGGCTCCCTTCCCAGCCTGGGCCCGTCATGTGCTCCGAGGGCTGTGGGCTGTCCGGGCTTGTGTGGGTGCTGGTGTCTGAGCGTGGGAGGGCACCGGGCACCCCGAGGCTTGGCTGTTACTAGAGTCTCTAGCCTCCCACCCCCGCAAAGAAACCAAAAGGACCCGTTCTCACACCTCACACAGTCTCTCTGACCGCTATTTATGGGACGATGTCAGTGAAAATGGAAAGAATTCCTTACTTCCTTCTTGGTATAAAAGAGCCAGCAAATGAATAGATTTTTTATGTTTTAAAAAGTTTTCTGCAATTTAGGAATATAATCTTTGTGAGAATGGGTTTTGAGTTCGTAAGGGCACATGGCTTTCTCAGTTGAAAACTTTCACTTGTTCTTCATTAAGCGGTAGAGCTGGTCCTGTGATGGTGACTTTAACAATAATAAAGAGCGCTAGGGGTTGGATTCGTCACGTTTGCAGGGGTGTCTGGCAGACTGTATTTAAATTTTTATTTTGCAAAGCATTCGAGTCGCAGGTACCGTGCCGAGCAGCTTCCCCCCAGGTCCGTTTGAGAGTCAGTTGCCGAGGTAATGCCACGTCACCTCTGAATGCTGTCGCGTGTCACTCCTCCAGATGAGAGTTTCTCTCTCAGAGTCACAGCTCGGTCGTCAGGATCGGGGTGAGCATGGGCACTGAGCCACCATGTGCCCCACGGCGTGCAGGCTTGCCGCTTGTCCCCTTCACAGCACAAGGACCTGGCTCAGTGTCGTGTGGACGCTGCCCTAACTTGGCCTCATTCGTCCTCCACGGTCCTCAGCCTTTCCTTGGCCTTCGTGACCTTGATGCTCAGAAAGTTGCAGGCTCCGCTGAGTAGAGTGTCCCTGATGGCAGCTCAGGTGCAAATTCCGGTTATGCTTGTTTGGCAGGGTGTCACAGAGGAGATTCGCGCCCCCCCGCCCCCACGGCGCCCTGCTGGGCGGCTAGTGGCCTTGATTTTCCCCAGTACTGGCTGCGCAGCGCTCTCGTCATTAGCCGGTGCCTGCGGGAGCCTGGCACTGTGGCACTGCCCGTCGCCCTCGAAAGTTAACGAGCGCCTTTGGGAAGAGGTGCTCTGAGGCCGTGTAAACATTCCTTTCTTCTCCATGCTTGCAGTTTATTCGGTTTGACTCGTGGTTTCCTTTTTTATTCAGTGGATCGTAACCCGATACCATCATTCATCGTGATGCCGAACTCCTTGCGCACCGAGCCTGTGGGACGCGCTGCCCTGGCTCGCGTGGCCCCGCTGCTGCTTTTCCTGCTCTGCACTCCTCCCAGGTGCCAGCGCCCTTGGTGGCGTGTGGCACTCGGACGGCGAGGTGCCCCCATGGGGACCAGTGTGTTGCGGCACCTCTGTCATGGACGCATGCGTGTGTGCACGTGCACACGCGTGTGTCCTGTGTGCCCACGGCCACGTCTGCGGTCCTGCAGCGTCTGTAGACGTGCACTTACACCCGTGCTCCCCATTCCACCCAAGAGGGGTCTCCCTGCATGCCGCACCCTCCCGACGGCGTGGACCTTGGTGTCTGTCCCCAGTGTGCCTGCTGCTGTGCCGCTGCCTCCCGTGGGAACCGTGCTCGTCCCTGCCGTCGGCGGCCTTCTCGGACCCCTTCATTCTGCACCGACCCCTTTCCCCACAGACGTCTGCCCTCCGTGTCCCCACACCCCGTGTGGGTCACCCTTCCTTCCTTCCCTTATGTGGGCTCCAAGCCCTTCATCAGACTGGACAGCTCATTCCCCACCACCACTGCCCCCATCGTCCTGGAGCAGATGGCAGCCTGCCCAGCCCCACCTAATGGCTTTGGGATTGTTCAAGGAAGGAGTTCAGCATTTCCAATAAGTGCTTTAGGTTTAGGCTCGGCCAGCCCAAGGGACAGTGACGTACCTGCAGCCACGGTTGAGAGCTGGGGCCCAGCTGGGGCGGTAATGGGGTCCATCTTGTGTGGGGCACGGTGCTTCACGGATGCTCGGGGGGAGCCAGCTTCCGGCAGACAGCTGCATGGCCTGTGTGGTCGGGCAAGGGCACTGGGGGAGGTCATCTACCGAGACAGCGAGCCGTGGCCAGAGGGAGAGGGCCCCAGGCATGTGTGGGTGTGCCGCCTGTGACAGAGACCCCCTGGGTGGGCAAACCTAGGGGAGCCGTGGGGCTGGACAAGGAGTTCCCGGTGAGTCGTCACAGGCCGTGCCCTCCAGTGAGAACTGGGGGCCCAGATGGCGAGGGGGGAGACGGGGTGAAGGCTGTGTGGGGGCTACGCTGCCGAGGCAGGGAGCCCAGGCTCTGTGACGGGTGCCTGGAGCGTGTTGTGGCTCTGGAGGGGCTGGGGCCAGAGGAGGACCCCCGCCCGGGCCGGCGCAGCCACAGCACTTCAAGGGGCGCTCGAGTGCGAAGGCAGAGTGGCACTTTGATCTGGCCTCAGCGTTTTGTGCTCTCCCGCCAGACATCACGACCCCGGCTTCGCCCACGCCAGTGCCTCTTCAGCAGGTCACCTCGCTGTTCCGAGCCTTAGTTTCCTCTTGTGTTCACTGATGGCACCTTCCTCCTGGCCTAGGGAGGGGTCTAGCTGAGGGGACGCGGCTCTGTGCAGAGACGCTTGTAGCAAGAAGCAGTGCTCGTGCCTGCACCCCACCCCACCCCGCCCTACTCCATCCCCCCTTCCCCTCCCCCCCCACACCCAGCCCCTAATCCAGCGTGGGGCTCCCTGCACCAGCTCCATTCTAGGTGCTCGTGCGTGATGCCACCTGGGCGTGCCTGGCAGTCGCGGCTCCCTCCAGCGGGAGAGTTCTGGCAGATGTCACAGTGGAGTGCTACGTGTTTCCTGTTTTGTTTTACAAAGCAGACGTTAAATATGTCCAGTAGTGCCCAGCGTCTGCGTGCCTCCCTCAGGCCTGTGCACGTGGGGTCCCTGTGCTCGTGGGGTCGCTGTGTGCCAGCCAGGGCCCGGGGCGGGGGTGGGTGCCAGTTGGTGCTTTGGCCACAGACATGTTTCAGACACGAGATGTCTGTGCTGCTCTATCTTGGGACGAGGGGTACATGTTGCCAAAAAGGAGGCGCTCCCTTCCGTTCGGCCTTTCGTGTGCCTGTGTGGGCAGCGCCTGCACTCGTGGGTGGGGAGGAGGCACTGCTTCCAGAGGCCTGGGGGGAAGTGCATGCGAAGTGGCCCTTTAGGCTGTCCAGTGGTGACAAAGACCACTGTCACCAAGACAGGCAAGTAGAAGATACACCCTGCTACTCTGGACTGAGCACGTGGCCTCCGGAGGGCCCGCTGTCTCCCTTCGCGACCCTGAGGCTCGGCCAGGGGGTTCCAGCCCCGCGGGGAATGGCAGCACCGGGGCACAGGCCCCAGGAGCTGCTGGGGACCCACAGGAGGGGGTGTCGGGGGCTCCCGGGCATCCCAGCTCTAACACGGTCCCCGCCCCCACCCCGTTCCCCCACGTAACAAGGTGCTGGCTGTTTCGTAGTGGTGACACTTGCCTCTGCCCAGAGAAGCAGGGGAGAGGCCGCTCTGTTTCGGGCCGACGTAAATGCCGTCACGGCAGCGCCAGAGCCGC